TCTGTTCTGTTTCTGCGGAATTTATATTCCGGATTTGGCCGATCGACTGTGCTAGGGTAGTCGGGTCTGGACTATAAATGGTCCCTTCCAGTTCTATTCTGAATTACTATTTTAAAGATAAGCCAGTGACAACCACGTTTAGTTTGATGATTACAGCTGAGAATAAACTACATGTAAGCGGATGTGTGCTGAAAACTGTGACATTCCCACAGCAGGACTAATAAGGGCAGGCTTAAGAATACTCCATCCCAACCAGTAGAAAACAAAATCGATGACTTGGACCCAGATGGTCGTTTCCAATTTATAACGTTTAAAATTCTTACTGCTACTTTAAGATTCATTCGCCAAAGTAGCACTAGTTTTCCAAATACCCTGTTACTCCTATTGGCCATTGGACGACTGAAGATGGATTTTAGGAATGTTACAGGTCTGGGGCCATTTGCTTAATTCTTCGATCGCTTTCCACAATATCCTCGATGAAGAAAAAGAGAGAGAGAAAGAGAGAGAGAGAGAGAGAGAGAGAGAGAGAGAGAGAGAGAGAGAGAGAGATTTAAAGGAACTGCACGTCCGATAAAATCGGGAGGGTTTTAATTCTAAACGAATGTTGACTAGATAGCAATGCCGGAAAAGTAAATTCATTAAACCGCGGAGAGCTTGTCCCATCTGAAAGAAATGGGAATTGGGTAGGGGCGCCCTAATTCCTGCGCTATCACTTCGGCTTAAGGAGATTTAACAAGCGCACTGAGGATCTCGCCTTCTCACACAAACACCCCCACCTTCCCATTTTTGGTAATGATCGCAGAGGTGAGAATTGTGCCAGTGGAAGGGGACAGATTTTCTTCTCTCTAATTTCTTTGAACCTCTGAATGGTTTTCGCACAGAGGACCGAACTATCCTGAACCTGATTAAGAACCTAGATACGCGAATCACTGCGGGGGGGGGGGGCGGAGTCGTCGTCGTTGTTTTGTTTTTAAAGAAATCGGGCTGTTTTTCTTTCCGACCAAGCGGTGCATCCCGAAGATCAATTGCGTGGAAGTTCTATCCTCGGATAGTTAGATGAGCGTAGCAGACTGACGATTCCCAGTTAAAATGCACGAATTCGACACAGCTGCTCCCCATAAACTCAGCCCCGCTCTTCCAAGGTGGCCTGCTAGGCAGTTCTTCTTGCTGGGATATTTGAACAATGGTAGATCTTTCGAAATGGTTTTTTAACGTTTAATTTTTAAAGAGTAACCTGACCATGCAATATTTTTTTTAAAAAAAAATAATAATTAAAAGAGAAGCCTGTACTTCCAATTAAGTTATAAAAGAAACTTCATTCCATTTCATTTCCTGAAATCTTAATGTGCCACCGTTAAAAAAAAAAAAAACTTGCTCATTAGATTTAAAGCAGCCAAAAGGAAGTATTGGTGGCCAATCAACTTGTAAAAAAAGAAAGAAAGAAAGAAAGAAAGAAAGAAAGAAAGAAAGAAAGAAAGAAAGAAAGAAAGAAAGAAAGAAAGAAAGAAAAGGCATTATAAATGGGAAAGAAGAGGTTTTACTTGTTATTATTTCGAGGAAGTAAAACGACTGCTTGTATGTTCTGGGAGAGACAGGAAAAGGAAAATGGATCATTCTTACAATCAATATCCTGCCGAGGATGTTAGCTCATTTGGGTCTTATAACAAGAGCCCGAATCTTAGCCTCCAGCCCAAACTATCTCTCCTTTTCTTTCATCCTGTTAAGCCCCAGTCTGGTAAACCGGTTTAGGGCAGATGAAGACTCTTCACACTTTAGAGCGAAACCAATACCTTCGAGTGTAACAGCCCTGACATTCACTAGAATGTCATCTTTCTCCAAAGAGGACGTTCATTTGCCAGGGACTCCTAGCTCCGCTGGATTTTTTAGGCAAACTCCGTAGCTCTGGCAAAAAGCCACAGCAGGGGAACAGGCCTCACCCCACCCCTCCGCCCGGACCACGGAACCCATAGCGAGGCGTGGGGTGCCACATTATTTGCTTGCGCTGTTCAAGGGCTCGGATTCCCGCCCTCCCCAGATCCTGAATATAATGTTTATCGACTCAAAACACTATCCTTAAAAATCTTAAAACAAATGTATTTATCAATGCACTTTTAAGAACTCGATTCCTCCCGTTTATAAACTTCGCCACCTACGGATGCTCTTAAATAAGCTCAAGTCTGACTTTGGCATTTGAGATAAGGAAAAGATTGGTATTATTAAGAATTCTCTCACTTTCTTACTGTTCTTAGAGGATTTTTTTCCCCCTTCCGCTCCAGCAAAAAAGATAATGGAAATTAAAGTCCCATCTAAACAAAGAAAAACTAATTGTCCGGTCAATCGAAAGCTTCGCAGTTTTCAGCGGGACTCATAAAATTGCTCGTTCTGGTTGGGCTGTATCTAAGAGAGCTTAAACTCCCGCTTAAAAAAAGTGTATCAGAAGCCAAGAGATTTTGAAATCCGGTGAAAAAGCTAGCCGCCCGAGTCTGCCCTCTTCCAAGTTTACCGCAGCTACGGAAGTCCCGCTGCACGGGAGGGGGAAAAAAAGCGACTCCCGCCCCCAGCCAGACCGACCCCCCACCCCACCCCAATTCAGGATCGCCCAACTTGCCTTTTCTCTGAGGATTTCCCCATGGCCTGTCCAGAAGTGATTTTAGAAAGGCTCGAACGCACCATGGAGCTGATTTGGTTTTTATTAAGTCATACGAGAGAGGGTGAGCGAGAGGGGGGGGAAGAGGGGGAGGCCCCAAAAACGAGGAAAGAATTAAGCAGGTAATAAAGAGACGAAAGCAAGAAAAGCCGCTGAAAGCTTTCTTGGATCAGAAACCGGGCCAAAACTCTGCCCAAGAAGGACTTTGGGGCTGTTTGAAAACTCTTCCCTTAAACATTTGGGGCTGCTCCTTAGCAAGACCACCCGACGGGTCTTAAACTAAGAAATAGCGACTCCGCTTGCTGAGATCCTAGAAAGAAAACGCCTCCCGAAGAAGGGAAGGAAGGGGTAATAAATTGGATTACAGGTGCATCCCTCCCGAGAATTGCTTGTCCAACCGTCCCTGTTTATTAAGGCCCATCGTAAGAGACCTTCCCCCGTGCCCCAATCCCGAATCACCAAACTGCCCAGAACCCGGATTTGGAGACACACACCCCCACCCCTCTGATAAAACAAGTACAACTCATAATAATGCGAACGTGTTGTTTTTCCCAGCCAGACCCAGATGTTCAAACAGGTGCTTAGCTTGAAGGCGAAACAACTCAGTGAGACCGTGCTAAGAACTGTCGCCCGAGATCACCAGGGTCTCTCCGTCGGTTCAGGTGCATTGCGACCCGTTCCGCCAATTTGGTACAGTTCCGTTTCGAGCCTAGGCGTTATTGTCCGGTTCTGTTAAAATCCCAAATCGGGTTAAATTCCCGAAGCTTCCGAAATATTTGGTTCCCTTTGGTCAGCCTCGAGAAAAGGATTTGAATCAACTATCTGATCCCCGCCCGCTTCTCTCCCAGACTCAGGGCTCGCCACGCGTTTGCCATCTAGATAATAATTTTGTTTTTTTCCATCTCGTCTCCTTCCCGGGGGATCGTCTCGAGTTCTACGGCCGCCTTCGTTTTTAAATCTCCGGGCTTCCTTTTTAAAAACTACCTCGGAGTAGACGATGCTCCCTCCCTGGTGAGGTGAAATAAGTGTAGCAAAGGCCGCGCGAAGAAAGGGTTAAGGGTGCTTTTGACCGAGAAGCCGCGGATCCCGTTTGCGTAATATCTTTATTACTGAAAACTTCAAGGTAGAGAAAGAGAGGGGGGGGGACGCAATGGAAACCAGATGTCGGAATGGAAAAAGAGAGATTACAGATGGAGAAAATGGAGCGTAAAGGGGCAGCAGGAGTTAAAGTAGGAGAGGAGGAGTCGCGGTATAATTTTTTTTTCCCTGGATCCATTTCGGAGGCCTGGAAAAGTGGGTCTCCCCCCAAAACGTAAACCTCCAAAGCACCTTGGGAAGCGGAGGGGAGAATCCCTTTCCGACACCCAGGTGGCGGGACAAACATTTGCTAAAAGAAAACCACTAGCGGGAAAGATTTGCCTATTTGGATTGATGGGAGTGGATAGCAGGGAAGCCTTTTAATTCTAGGCAATTGTGTCCCTTTATTTATTAACTAAAATTCGATCCCGGCGGGCAATCAACCGATGAAGCTTTCTTCTTTTCTCTTGAAAGCTCCTCCAGTTGAATGTATACCTGTTCCCCGGCTGTTTTACACACAAGAGTTGGGAAAGAGAGCGATTAAAGCCAGCAAAGGCGGGAGGCTGCCTAACAAAACTGGCCAGATGACCCCAACGTTGACGGTCATTTTTCCCGGTCAGCAAACTCAAAAGAGCTGTGCCAGGCTACAGCTCAGAAGAAAGGAGGAAAGAGGGCCGGAGGAATCGACCCAGGAATGCCCGGAGGGACGCCTCGGAGTCGGCCGGCTCTTCCGCCCTGCTCACATCTGAGCCGGCAGCCCCAATTGCATCATCGCCATGTGGCCTCCTGGCTTCTATATTGTATTGCTTTCTAATGGTTGTTGAAAAACAAACAAATAATGCAAAAGCAACAAACAAGAAAGCCGGCCCTTTTTCTCCCCGGCTTCCCTTTCCCGCCTGCCGTTCTTTGCACGGGTGGATTGGGCAGCGCCGGGCGAGAGAGCCGATTTCTTGGCCCGAGGGGAGGAGGAGGAGGAGGAGGAGAAGGAGGAAAAACCTGGGGAAGGAGAGAAGAGGGGCTGAAGGAAGAGCTCCTTCCGAAGAATCCCTCCTTCTCTCTCTCCCCTCCCTCCCCTCTTGCTGAGCCCCTTTCCCCTTTTACTGGGGTGGGGGGCTGGGGGTGGGACGGATCTGCTCAGCTCCGGAGAACATCTGACTCTGCTTAGTGCTGGCTAGCCCAGCCGTCTGTGTGCGGGTGTGTGGCTGCGTGTGTCGGTGAGTGTGTATGTGTGCATGAGCGTGCGGGGGGGGGGGGGGGGGGGGGGGGGGGCAAAGCCAGAGAAAGGCTCGCTGGCGTTGCATGAGGACACTGCTGCCGGGGCCTTTTAATTTTAGGCATGAATGCTGAGAGTTGCGTGTCGTTCTGCGATCCGTCGGCTGCTACCATGGATTCCTTCTACAACGCCGCCTCGCAAGGCAGCGTCGACGGCTCCTCGCCTTTTAGGGCATTTCCCGGCAGCAGCGACAAATTCAGCTCCGCTTTCCTGGCCAGCAAAGGACAAAGCTTTGGAGACAGCGGCGGGGGAGGCGGCGGTAGCAGCGGCAGCAGCAACAACAGCCCCAAGCGCCGGAGCCGCTACAGCCAGCCGGAATGCCCGTCTCTGGACGGCCCCGGCGCGCAGCAGTCACAGGCGCTCCCGACGGCCACCGCCGCCGCTTCCACCACCACCGCCGCCGCCTTTAACAAGTACCACTTGCAGCCACCGCCGCCGCTCTACGGGCAGCGCGGCTCTTGTAAAAGCCCCCCGAGCAGCAACCTCAAGCTGCAGGACACCAGCGGCCACAACGGAGCCCTGCAGCTTTCTTGCTTCGGTGAGTCACCCTATCGGTCGGGGTCTGGGCCGGGGCTGATGGGGCAAGAGGTCCTTGCGGGAAAGCAGCCCTTGGCCAGAGCCCTCTGAGCTGGGAATTCGTGGTGCGCCTCTGTTCGGTGTATCCGACCAGTTCTCGCGGTCTTAAAACTGGACGCGGGTCTATCTCCTTCCTTCCTTCCTTCCTTCCTTCCTTCCTTCCTTCCTTCCTTCCTTCCTTCCTTCCTTCCTTCCTTCCTTCGCAAAGCAGAGCGGTGGCAATTCAGGGCTTCCTTCTGGATTCGAAGGCTGAAATGGAAGTCCATGGCTCCGCGATGGGAAGCAACGGAGGCAAACGGCCGCTTAGGAAGGAAAGGGCATCTCCAAACCTCAGCCTCCGAAAGGAGATGTGTGCCGCCCACTGTCTGATTTCGCGGGGAGATGGAGGTTTGCAAATGACCTGAATCAGATGAATCTCTCACGCTGTTGAGTTGAACATCCCGCTCTGGGATTAACAGTCCAATACCACCAACTTGATAGTTTTCCCTGTGATTTAAAACAAAACTAAAATATGATTAATATTACTTGTATAACTTAGCTGTTTCTTATTTTGTAACTGAAAAAGCATGGCTTGGAAGTAATTTCCTGGAATTGGGGAGGAATTTATTTCAAAAGTACCTATTCTCTTTCAGAAAGAAAAAAACCAGTGAAAGTCTGGAGGGAAGTTGGAGGCAGAAAAGACCATTTATTTCCGTGGTTGGTTTCTAAACTCGTGGCAAAGGTTGACTCCTAATTCTGTTTTGCTCCGTTTCTCCTGTCCTGCCCAAATACCCCTGAAGAGCACAGTAACCATATACTAAGCATCCCCAAACAAAGCTCTCCCCCTTTCCAGATAGACAGCTCAAGTCTTCGGCCTTGAACTTCTGAGAACCACCCGCTAACACGTTTTGTTAGTGTCATTTAATTAGGCGCATGGAATTCATGAATACCTTATCCCGGATTCGTTCTCATTATGCGTTACAGAAGTGGTTAAAATGGAAAGCAAGTGTTTGCTTAGGCGGTTCTTCTGGGAGAATATATTAGCGATAAGGAAAGTGAAAATAGAATTATCTCTCTGTATCTTTCCTCTGCCAGCTCCCTCCCTCCTTATAAAAACATCCTTTAATGTCGCCCCAACTGTCTTGTCTTTTCAGTCCTGAAAAACGCCTCCGCTTGGACACGGGAAAAACAAACCAGCTTTTTAAAGTTTGTGATTAGCGATCTTAAATATAAAGTTATATATAAAAGTAGTCCTAAATATACATTTCGAAGCCACATCCTATTTTCAAGAAAATTAGCTGGGCTATGACCGATACAAAAAGGAATAACTGGAGTTGCACTTATTTCAGCATCCTGCAAGTTACTGCTGAGGAGCTTTTTATCCTGCACTTATCCTGTAACAACTCCCCCACCAAAAACTTTAGCAACTCTTGACTTTCCAAGGGGAATCGGAAGCCCGTATCTTTCGACATCTTTGCCTTTGCACCCGGGATTGCCTTTCCTTACTGAGTTTCTTAGCGAGTTACTTCTGGGGAGAAAATCCACCACTGTCTTTCTCTACCCCGCTGTCCCGCTTCCACAAACAGCCCTTTCGATTAATTTAAGAAGATTGGAAATCTGGGTGTGTTTGGACCTAGGTCCTAGAGGAAAAACGATGGGGGTTGAGGTTATGTTAATAAGCCATCCATCACCGGAAGAGCAAAGAGATCCTCCTGTCTACCTTGTTTTCTGGTTTCACTCATTGTTAGACAACCAGCCAGGTCCCAGAGTCCACAGAATTCTACTGAATTTCCCCTCCTCTATGCGAGCAGAAACGTCGGAAGACTCGGTAAAGTCAGTTGTTCAATTGCGGGCCCAACTAGGTGCCCAGGATCAAGTGTAGATTAGGGGCTAAGGGTTCGCAAATAAGCCGATCAATCTTACAACTAAAGAAAATTTATTCTGTTGGTCAATGTTGCCTGGAAGCCTTTTCCACTGTAGTGCCTTTTTCAGAAACGCGTTGACAAAGGGCAAGTATAGATTTTCTTTCTGTCCATCTCCAACACGACTAAGAACTCGGGAAGGCGTTTCCATCCGTTTCACGCACCTTTGCTCACACAATCGCATTGGCAACGGAGCCTTGTTTGCTTACTGACCAATTTGCAGTCCAGTTCAGGTGACTAATCTCCAGGGGAATGGAGTTGGAGCATCATTAAAATTAAGTCAGGAAGATTGGAAATGAAGGCCCTGGAGCCTCCAACCGTTCTCTTTCCAAGGAGATTTCAATAACTGATTTGTCTTTATGATGTCTTCTTCCTTTCTTACGTAGGGCAAATGAGCAGCGGCAAGTAGGTTTCTTCCCCAAGTGAGCACTTCAAATAAAAATAGAAAGGTAGAAATAGAAAAGCGAGGCTAAGCTGAAATCTCTTGGGGTAGAACCCCTCGAAGAGGGAAGCCCCAGCACCCACATAACGACCCCTTTTTTATGCCAAGGGAGAATAAATAAGCGGCCCCGATTCCGATCTACCTTTTTAAAAATGTCATCCTAAACAATGGAGTGAGCCCAAAGGGACCCTCTTCAAGTTGAGAGCGATGGGACAGGATAGTGAGCTTTACGCGCGCTCCTTTTCCAGCGGGCAACTCGGTGAGAGGCAAAGCCCTTGAATGGCCTCGGTAAAGGTCGGCAATAGCCAAATATTCACCTGCACCGGAAGATGTCTGTTACCCGCCACTTTTCCCTTTGGGTTTTCGGGATGATAAATGGGGGAAACAAGGAGGGGAAGGAGGGCCTCTCATAAGGAAATATTCCCGACACCTGGCTTGGATCTGTTCTGAATAACCATTTGCGCGGTTGGACGCCTCTAATAGCTCTGCGCCGCGGAATCAGCTGATTGTAGCCCTTGTGTCTGAATCTTTAAACCAGATGCTTGGGGTCCGTGATTGCTACCATTTGATGGAGACGGGAATGGCCACACTGAAAATCAGAGATTTCTTCCTCGACCCAATTGTGTTAACATCGAGGAAGGCGAAAATCCCTAACCATATTTAGAGGAAATCCAAGGAAATCGCGCTAATTTAATTAATTGCCAAATTAATTAAGGTTAATCTTCGGTACTATTTGTGCTACCTTCACTATAAAATAAAGAAGGCCCAAATGATAACCGATCATCGTCCCTTGAGAGAAAAATCCCGATCACCTTCCCTGTGATCTTCGCCTTTGGGACCCATTCAATGAGGGTGGTCACAGCGGTAAGGATAGCGATCGATTAAACGTTCGCAGAATTTCCAACCACCTTTCCTTCAGAGGCGCATTTTCAAAGCAGCGCTCCGTAGTGTTGTGTGTGTGTGTGTGTGATGTGGCTTGAGGGACAAGGCAACTTAATGGGAACCACCTGGATTTGTGGGGAACAATGAATCACAATAATAAGGAATATTGATGAAAGAATAGTTGCCGATTAGCATGAAGGGGAGGTTGGGGAGCGAGGGCTGCCAATTATGGGCGCATGAAATAAATCGTACTTCCCACCAGAGATAAACCGGCCTCGATGAGTCTCCAACGTTGGGAATGAGACTCTGAATTCAAACCGGAGCAAAACGTTCGTTGGGGGGGGGGGGGAGAAAAAGGGGCAAGAAAAAGCGGGATAAAGTTCTCGCACGTTCAAAAAGCTAAATTACGTCCTCACACGGGCCGTTTCATCGGCCCTGCGGTGGCAGCTGAAAAGTAAACGGTGTTCCTGTTAAAAGCGCTGGCGTCCAATACACCTTTGTCTAATGAAAGCGAACGTTTTTCCACTCCGGACCGAGTGACAGTAATCACCGAAACGGTTCATGATGTGTTAAAGTCCTGGGCAAAGACCATTAACGGCAAGAAACTCGAACGGGGATGCGAACTCCCCGTGAGGCCTACCGTCTCCCTAGGCGGCAAGATTTGGGAGAGAAGAACAGGACGGAGAACCCAGGGCTCCTGCGAAAGGCGCCTTCAGGGCGCGGGGAAATGCGGCCCTTACGAGAAAGGTAGCGCCCTGGGAAAGCAAGCGGGACTTCTCGGTCACTTTCTTTAGCTCTCGCGGCGGTTCCTGTCGAATCGCAAACAACCCCTTCGCGGCCTGCGACACTCGGTACGGGATGACAAGCCCTTGTTTTCCATAGGTTTTGTTCGGCATTCGTGGTAGATCTTCATCTAGTCCAGGCCCTGCCGGCGAAGGCCTGCTAACATTTCAGCTTAAAACCATTGGCATCATGGGAATTTTCCCTCAGGAATCTGTTCCCGCCTTTTTCGTCAAGCGGTGCGGCCTAGCCCGTGTCTTGGCTCCTCCAACTTAGCCCGCCGTCTTGACTCCACGCGGAATCGAGATAGGATTCCTCAAGGAAAAACCTTTCTGACATCCTTCTCGGCACCCTCATTAGTCGTGGATTTCTTAAGGTTCGCCGTCGTCCCGTATTTAGTCTTGTACAAGGTCGGATCCCCCAGATGCGGTCGGGCAAACAAGCAACGATTCCATTTCCCACCCTTCGCAATGAATGCCGGGAATGGTAACCGACGCCATTCGGAGACCGACGCTTCAGGCCCATCTCTCTGGAAACCGAGGTTTCCCCGAGGGACCAGACCTAAACTGCAGGAAGCCAGAGCCCCGCAGAGCCATTTCGGAGCGTTCCTACCGGCGGCCGAGCTTTGCAGATCGATTTAGGCAGAGAGGCGACAGTGTGGAGTCAGTTCTTGGTAGGCATTAATAATTCTATCGCCCCAGTGAGGAGTGATAAGGTTATATATACCTTGGGAACAGAAAACTAATTAAAGTCTCTTTGAGAGTCTGCTTAAGTGTGTCCCTCTTCTTCCCTGCCCCAAAGTGCCAGTTTATTGCCAGCCCTCTGTTTCACCTCTTCAGGTCCAAGTTCAGCCTCTCCAGCACTGGGGCAGGGTTGGTGGGTTTTGAGTCCACTTTCTCAGTGTTGCCTCTACAAAAGGGAGAGTGCTTGAGCTGCCCTCCGGGACAGTTTTATCCTCATAGATTCCAAAAATAACGAAAGATTATTTTATTATCTGCAAAAACTAGAGGCCTAGAGAAACCCATTGGCCCATGGTTTGAATAGTTAATCTGGTCTTCAATGAGTCTGCTTTTATTTCTAGAGTTAAAAGATGTCTGAAAGGCCTCCTTCCAGGGATCTCTTCGTGCTTTTCCTTTATGTCTCCAGAACCAAGAGGGTCACTTCAGTTTAAAAGGAGACTAAATTTAGCTAATGCTCAGCTTGATTAGAAAAGGAGTGAATCCTGAGATTGGACAGGAGGAAGAGGAAAGTGATTGAAGTCCCTGTCTGACAGATTGACACCCCTGTACATATTTGGTAGAGATACAATTACACTTTCAAATGGAATTTGTAAAGTCGAACATGTAAAATATATGTTTATTCAGAGTTTCTACATTTGTAAACTTGTACTTGATAATAAGAAATGTGCATAACAACATTGAAGGACAGGTCTTTAATTATCCCTTCATAATTAGGCCATTTCCTCACTGGTTATTTATTACTTTTTACAAAGCAATTCAACTGTTGCAGTAAGGAAAAGCTGATCTTCATGTCTGATATATCAGTCTAGTGATAGCTGATGCTATAAATCACAATAAAAGAAAAGGCAACTCTTTTAAGAGGATTGATTTATTTGATTGATTGCTACTAGTAGATGTGTGTGTGTGTTGCTGTACTATACCAAATACAAATGAGTATCAATATCCAATCAAAACATATCCAATTCATCCACCTCTATTAGGTTTCTGTTTGTGAATAATGAAATCTGCCTGCATAAATACCTCGAAATATTACTCTCTTTGCTGAATATGACCCTCTGAATTTCCTTGTATCAAAAAGGCTGAATTGTACATCTGCAAACTGAAATTGTAATTAAAGGAAAAATAGAAGATGTAAGAATAAGCTGCATATTTGGTTAGAAACTGTTAAAAGGGAGGGAAAACTCCATCATGTGATTTGTGGTGAAAAGTAGTCTGAATTAATATTTCTCCAACTTGGAACTGAGATAAATGGTATTTCTCCATATTTAAATATATTACCCTCATAAAAATTGTTCTGGAAAAGAAGAGGACATGTGGGCAGACAGGCATCTGTGCGTGCTAGGGTGGGGATGCTCATTCAAAGCATGAGAGAGGGTGGTGGGTAGAAAGAGAGAGAATGTGCCCTGGGATATTTGCTCACTGGAGTAATATAAGAAAAACTACTTTTCCTGGCATTCAAAGATCTAAAAGTGCCAGGCCTGGCAATTCCTAGTGGCTTGTTTTCTTAGGAAATAACCAGGCAGCCTATAAAGCAACGTTGTTGGGAGTGGGAAAAGACTGTCTGCATGGAAATCTGAGGAGGGTGGCAGATTTTCCAAATGACCTTTCAGAGAGTTTGAAAACAACTCAGAACTGAACTGCCCCAGCTTCCATCGGGCAAAGATCTTGCAGGATAAGAATCCTTATCTCCATTTAGTTTCTGGCTGATTGGAATATCTGCTGAGCTTCCTTTCCATCAAAGGCTACTTTTTACTCCTCTGGTTGTGATTTCCCTTTTTTGAACTGTCCCAAAAGCCAGGGAGATTTACTACTGGACTAAATCAGTTTGAAGGGCAACACTTGTGCCCAGTCTTTGCTTTATTCTTAAAGTAAAGGAATACAATTGTCTTCTGTACTGATTGCATAGAACCAGGCTGGGTTCACATAATACACTAAGTGAAAATGTTCTTGGTACAGTGTATTGTAAGGATGTAGCCAGCATAAGTAGTTTCTGGTTCAGTAAATTATGGTTCAATTAAGTGTGGTTGGCCTGAGATGTAAACCTCCTCACCTCCCATACATTAAAAAAGAACTTGACTACATGTTATTTATTGGCATAAATAACCAGTGGATGTCCTTCTCTGCTTCTGCTTTTGTTTCTTGGGCAGCCTTCTTCCATTGGCCCACATTAAAAACTCCAGCTAATTCTTTGCTGGTGTGAGACTCCTGAAGCAGAATTAGTCATGTCCCTGTGACTTGGCCCTGGCATCGGGTGACATTGTAAACTCAGAGCATTAGATAAAGATGGATGGAACTACTAATTTATGCAGTTTGACTTATAGCTCTAGCAAGTCCACCAATGCACACCAACCTTCCATAATCTAGCAATCAACCATACTTTCTGTATCACCAAAATATAGCCACCTAGACCTACAGAGAAATGTCACTTCCAGCAGATGGGATAGAGAAGAAGTCACTGCCTTTTTTACTTTGGCTATTCCTTACCCACTGAAAATAATAGAGGGAAGAAGTAGAACATTTTCAAATCCAGGAGTTTATTATAAAAGACCACAAGTCTATGACCATCACTCCCCAAACAAATTACCAAAATTTCAGTGGTTGATAGAACCAGTTATGCTGAGCCTATACTATACTTTCCCAACATGATGTCCTTCAGATGTGTTTGGCCAATCCCATAATTCCCAAACAGACTGTAACAAGAGAGTGTATATTGGATGGGAATTATGAGAATCCCAATAACTGTGGAAGGTGCTAAATTGGGGCAACTAGCTACTTTCTTACTTAAAGTATTTAATTCCTTTTGACATAACTGTTTTTAGAAATCTCACATACATACATACATACATACATACATACATACATACATACATACTAGAAAATACATCTCTGAATTTGGACCAATTTTTGCTGCTGCTTGATAGTTACAATAAAGCACAGTGTGGCAGAAAAGTGGTATTTACATCACATAGAATCAGAGAACTCTGAGTTGAATTCTTAGAGCAACTTTATGCAACCTGGTAAATGAGCCAGACTAAAATGTTTGTTATGTCCAGATATGCTATCAGAGTGAAATGGAACTTAAAATAAAACTTACCTGAACTGTCTCAGGAGTAACAAGTTAGGACTGAGATCTTGAATCATCCTTAGACTACTTTTCAAATGATTTTACCTATCTGGAATTACATAATCTGTGTGGAACCACGTGGTCTGAAGTGTTCAAACCTGTTCCTCTCTTATTTTAACCTTACCAAGGTATGTTGAACTAAACAGCAGGAAGAAAGTGTAAACAAAACAATTTAATGTATTTTACTGATATTTAAAGCATGCCATAAATTTGCAACATCAAAATTATGTCCCCTTTTTCGTAATCCACAAGTCTATCTAGATAAATTAGATTTTACTTGCTATTGC